TTTATAATTTTTACTGAGTTTTAACCACTGTATGTAAATCTATTTTAATATGTTTTGTTGGCATTCCTATAAAAATAAATAAAAAAAAAAATAAAATAAATAAAATAAAAAATTGTCAATGGTGACAGATGGTCAACAAGTTTACCTTGAAAACTGGTCAAACATATTGAGTAATAATAAAAATTCTGAATGGAGTTATACTAAAATTGGAACAGAGATAGTTAACATTCAATAGCGTATTGGCTAACTCAGTTTTTCAACGAGGATTTGATGACTCGTTGGCGAGTTAAGTATAAAGAGTAAGTAAGTAAGGCAAGGTAATCATAATGTGACATTAACAGCGAGTGTCTTGTGGGCGTTAGTCACTCAAAGCGCTAACGCTAAAGCCACGACTGTCCTCTCATCAAAACATCTGTTTCCTCGATTCATTACTCTTTTGCAAACAAAAAATTACTCATAGCATCGCCTTTGTAATTTGATCGCAAGCGTTTAAGTTATGAACTTACGCAGAGTTTATGCGGGAAAATAAAAGAATGTGAATAAGAGAAAAAAAAACATTTATATTTTGATAAATAGTATGACAATCGTTATGATAATAATTTTATTTTATCTATTTTGCGGCTTTCCACTTATAGTAATGAAGTAGAAACGTTACTTTAGTTCGAATGGCGCTGTGGAATCATATTAACGACTTTAGTATTGAATACTGTGTGGTTTGGATAAAAAATTTGTATACCTAATATTCGTTCACAATCAAAGTAATCGCTACACAACAGAACTTGGACATTTTTGAAATTAATAAATGCTTGAAAAACATGAAATCGTTCGTCGCGCTGTTAAAAGCCTAGCTATTTTAATTAGCAGTTCACTACCCGCTCTCCGCTCATGTCTTGTATTAATCCATTCGCCCGATTTGGTGTTCAGGGTCAGCGCGGATCGGAAGCCTCGCAGAACATTTTAAGGAGTGATGCTATGTTTATTGATGACGTCATCTTAGTAACAGAGGTTATCTGTGTCCATCTAATGATGACTACAGTGGCACATAAAAATGTTATTGATGTTACATTGATCATAAATGTATGACAAAAACCAAACGTCAATAGCATAGTGCTTAAGAGTATGGGCTCACTGTGTTCGAATTGTGCGTTTAACTTCTTGAACCAGGAACCATAGCCAACAAACATTTTTAGTTATAAAAACTGCTAACTAACAGTTGTTTTTTTTTCTGGTAAATCTTAGTAGATATATGGTGAATTATTAAATTGTTAAATATACGAATGACTTAATCGTATAAAGAGATAACTGTACATAATACAGTTATTTAAATGCTTGTTTGTGAGATGTTTCATGATGTAAGAGAGGACCGGTTCCATTGTTCTTTTACGAAATTCTTAATTGGCCATTATTACGAGGTGCAATTATAACAGTTGAATGACACTAGCTGCAGGGTTATATAACTGCTATAGGGTTGTACAATGCTAAAAAATAATTGCACCAACAAAAAACAAACTTCAAGTACAGTTACACGGGGGATCGTATTTAGAATTGTGAAGCATAGTATTTTTTTAACATCCTTGATCCTTTTCCAATTTTACTAAAAGCTATCTATACTCTTATTCCCATACCGTATCTGTTGCCATGGTAACGTTGTTTGATTAAACGATAACAGATATGGTTTACGACGAATATT